AACAACTGTATGTCAGATCGATCATCTGTTCAAAACTACATTTTGATAACTATTAAGAATATAGTTGATTACTTTTGAAATTTATCAAGTGTAAGGAAAATATCGGACTTATCGAAACTGCTTTAACAGCATCATATACCAATAACAATAGCTGAAAGACGGAGCATCTTCTTCTTTTTTTGTGAATACAGGCAAGATCTAGTTTCGAAAAATAAATAAAACTTAGACAAAATACTCTGTAATAATTTCTTTCTTTTCGATCAGCGTTATCAGTTCATACAAGAATCGATTCCTCTATATTGATGATCACAATTTGTTTTGAATTCTAGGAACAACTCTGACGTGTTTATGCAAGACAAGTTTCAATTCGATATGCTTTGTATATTTGATAAGTGTCTAAATATATATGTTTGAACAAAAAAAATATGAGAAAAATACCTAAAAATAGAACATCGTCAAACGTGAAAAGCTGAAAAAGGTAGTATGGATGATATAGTATTTGTGAGTGAGCTTGAATTGAGGTATGCTCGCACGAGTTTATATCATTCTCTAGTAGTTAGAATACTAGTGAAATTCATTCATTCTATATCAATCTTAAGAGAATTTTACTGCATCAAAATAATTCGACGATAATTTATCATTATTAAAAATCTATTTCAATCTTTCATTTTATTTTCATAAAAATTCTTCATGAATTATTTAGCTAGTTCATCATTTCTACTTTCAAATAAGTGACAAATAAAATTATTTACTGACATATATTTTATTATCAATACTTTGTTGAACATTTCTTTTTCATTCAGTGTAATTAATTGTTGTTGACAATAATTTTTCATATTGATCATATCGAAATTAAATTAATTATCTTCTTGTTTCATATATTCAAATCTGTTTTAAAAATGTACATGATCAATTTGTATGTACTAGATTCGATTATGTTTCTAAAGCAATATAGAGGACGAAGTGAGTAAGAAAGAGTGATTATCATTCTTTTAATATTGTTTGTCACAAGAAATTGTTTCTATCTCTTTCTCTCTCAATTAATATATTCGAAGCACCTCCTTTGAACATTCATAATGATTTTTAAACTACTGCATATACCGTATGCCTACAAACACATCCATTACAAATAGGAAATATACACACGACAATGTGAATAGGTGGCAAAAGATCGAAAGTCAAAACGTCGAAAAGCAAAACATCGAAAATAATTTTTCCGAAAGTCTTAATAATAAAGTAGAAGCCACAGATTTTGCCCTCACCCACACTATCGGACTGTACGTTCATTGTCCTTTTGTGGTTTGTTCATCAAAGACTTGAGTAAGATCCGGATATTGTGGCTACAGAGTTTGTAATTTTCGATATTTTGCTTTTCGACGTTTTGACTTTCGATCTTTTGACACTTTCCCGACAATGTCAATAGCCAATTATCATAATTCCATAAAAACTACAAATAGAAGAAGAAATCATCCAATATCTCATTACATTTTTGTTCAATAGAAAATCAACGATCTCATTTTCTTCATAAATATAAGACACGACATGAAAGCAACCATACACAGGAGATGAATTCATGATACAAAAAAAGACTATGTAGACATTAAGCAATGCATTTATAAATGAGTGTATGAAAATAGAATAATCATTATACAATAAAATTAACATAAAAGAAGAATTCTGGATAAAACTTAATCAAAGTTTTTTGTGAGGAACTGATCAATATATTTATTAATCTTCGTATCGTACTTTTTCTAAAAATTTGATTTTTTTCTTCAATCAAAACAGAGTAAAAATGCAATTTCTTCATAGGTGAATACTAGATTCAATTCTAGATTACCGCTTTGTAATTCGTTGTCTTATTATCATGTTTATAGAATGCTGTTCTAATAAACTATGATTAGGTGATTTGAACTCATCAGACAGTTGATGCATAGATTGAAATATCAATTAACTTATAGACAGTAAATAGTGATACTAGAAACTTATAAATTGTTCGGAGAAAATGCAATATCAATGGTAGAGTAATATATCATAATTCGTATTTTTATGCATTTAATTAGATTCTTGTAAAGTCGATATTAACATGCACAAAATTGTTTCAATATTCTAGTGAAGTAAAATATCGTTTTTTCTATATGTTAGCTACCACTTTCAGTATCATGGTGTACATCAATTGTAGAATGTCTTCGAAAGCTCTTTTAGTGTTTCACTCACAAAAATCTATTACCATATTTTGTCCTATTTTTCAATTAAAGAATCTCAATCTATTAATTAAAAAAGATTATTCAAATATATTAATCACATATGAAACTATACAAGATTTGATACTCTTTTTTTCATTCTGTGGCTGATATTCAATTAGTATTAAAAATTTTTAAATATTGTCTTTAGTATCGGGCAAGATTAGAGAATTTACTTATATTATGATTGAGTATTTGTCTAGTAGTTATTGTTCTGAATTCAAAGTTTGTCTTAATATATATCGAATGAAATATAAGATTATAAAAGAAAACCAAATTTGATATGATCGAAAATGCATATAGAGACTTCTTCTTGAATATGACATGATAAATCAGTCAAACGAAAATGAAAAATACTTAAGATTAGAAAATTTATACATCATAGCACACATATCGCAATGAAGTTTTTATCATTTTACTATTTTTATTGTCAACATCCTATTTGTTTTTATGAAAGACAATTACTACGTATACTTCAAGTATAATTGTGGGTCTTCTTTTTTCTTCTTTGTTCCTGTGACAACATAAATATCAGACAAACAAATAGACTTATCACAAAATCTTCATGAACAGACCACTTTTATCTAGTAGTATAAAACAGAAATAACAACACTTTTTTTTTAAGCATTTGGTTTCATTTTTCGTCTGAAAAGGTAATCTATTGTAAATATTTCAAGCGTCTTATTGATCTTAATCTATTAGCATCATAGTTTCAATACCAATGTATATCTTTTTAGCATGTAATTTTTCAATGAAAAATAGTTGTTTGAGTTTTTAGAATTGATGATAGGTTAAATCATATACAGAGAACATCTCATAGCGGAAACGTTTTCACTGTTCTACAAAATAGTTTTTACATTAATTATGAGCTTAAAGAGAAGGGCTTAACATGATAGTTAGTAATTAGTGAACACTAGTATTGTCAACAACGATTTTTTCATTCATGTTTTCATTAAGTGCGCTACTAATGAGCATTTGAAGTTATAAAAAGTAGCTGAGAAGGATGAAGAAGAAGCAGAAAAGTATATCTCTAGTATAAAATATCCCAATTCCATTTAAGATATTGAAATGAAGAGAAAACTTCACGTTTTCTTATTCATTCTATAGCTTCAGTAGCACGTTCATTATCTCCTGTCTAACATTTCAAATAATTGACGTTTATTTGAATTTAATAATGATAAAACAGAGATCTATCAACGACCAACTTAAACAATGGCTGTTTTTACTATTTGCAAAGATTAAAAAAAAATATAGAAGGAGAAGTAACAATCTGCTTCAGTCAAATATTTTAGTTACTGAAACTTTTCAGACAACTAGAAAATGTGTATGTTTTTTTCAAAAAACAATTAGTTTTAGAAAAGAGAAAACCGTTGTATAATGGGCACTTGCTCTGCCGATATTCATATCACCCTTCACTGGCCTTCATCTCCTCTTTATCTTGTCTCTATTGTTCTTTTCTGTATTTATTTCTCTCTCGCTCGTTCTCTCCTATATAACCGTGTGCTTTATGTGAACTAGTTACATTCTGAAGATATGGAGTAGTCAATAAATATCATTACCAAGAGTACTGATAAGCTACTCCTCCAGTTGGTCGCTACACTTTCCTATATGAATATGTTCGAAAAGATCGCACAGTCTTGACTGACAAGAGACTTTACTGTATTGATGTTAACTTATGTTGCATATAAGATTTGAATAATATGCTTTTGGTGAAAAATGTTTCTGGATACTGTTGTTGATCTTTCTCTATGTCTTCCAAGTTGAGAATAAGACGAAATTGATAAAGCATACAATGGTCTAAACGAAATTTTGAAATCTCTGCATATTAAAATAGATATTCTTGAAAAGACAATGAATATGAATATTGAACTTACATCTTCAGTCTCTTTTTAAAATGCGATGAGATGCTCCTAATCTGTCATTTTGTTTCTTTATGCAAATCAAAATTTCTCTCTCATAAGAATTAAAATACATTGTTGGCTTTTTTAACTTTCCTTTGAAATGATTGTAAAAGTTTGAGAATAAATAGTCATGACTTTCCTTGCTTCTAATTTAGCACAGTAATACATTTGCCATGCTTTTTCCATACAAAAAAATTGTACCAAACAATAAAGGTGATCACGATGGGGATGCTTGGTGAAGTATAACTCTTCAAAACACTATTCATAAACTGTGTGGTGCTGCACTTAGGCGCGAAAGGATGTGTAAGGTGGATAAAGAGTTACCTTCTTCTGAAATTTTTTTCGATTCTTTACACCAAAATCGAACACAAGTTAGGATTATACTATCACAAACGAGCTTAGAGACTGTGATTTATTGCGTATAATCATCTTTCTCCTCATATCAGCATCCTAAGCTCGCTACGAAATCGATTTAATAGTAAATTCTACTTATTTCTATATAATATCAGATACTGTTAATTTGTATAATTAGACTGTAGCATGTAGAAGACTTCTTTTTGCCTGTTAAACCTGAATATAAATAATCAATGAAATAGAACATAGCTAAAAATTATAGATAAAAATGGATGAAAGCACACAATCATGGACAGACCTTATCACTCGTCATAGTAAAAAACCAAAATTCCAATCACGCACTTGCAAGGTGTACAATAATGAACCGAGGCATTCCGACAATCCAAATAAGTTATGTCCTTGTGGTCGCATGGTTCGTCGCCATAGCTACACTGATGAATCTGTGGAATCCAAAGAGAGAAGCCAAGGAAATACTGAATGGGAGCCTAAAAATCAATTTCTCGACATGAAATATTCTGTCGAAGTGCCTATCAATGTCTTTGGAATACTGAAACCTACTGGTTGTAAATTTCTTCGAATAGATAATCGATTACCAATGGAAGATCTATATCAGTTCATTGTTGAAGATTGCGACAGACAGAAACCAGCTCTCATCTTAAGTGTATATGGTGGAGCCAAATATTTTACTACTACAGAACGACTTGAAAAAGAAATTATTAGAGGTGTTATTCATGCTGCTACTATGGCCAGTAAATAATTAATATGTTTTGAATATTATTCTGTTAATATAGATCTATTTAGATGCATGGATACTTACTGCCGGCATCGATAATGGTATATCAAAATTGGTCGGTGAAGGTATTTCACATTATCGCCTCTTACAAGAATATCCGCTCACTGTGAAATGTATTGGAATGACTACGTGGGGTACAATAAATGAAGATACACGTCTTGAACTTAAAAGTTCATCAAGCGTAAAATAATGAGAATATTTGTAAGACATCTAAAATACAAAAGATGTTTTTATTTTACAGAGATTTCCAACATCACTATGTCAACGGCAGATTCCAGACGATGCCCAAGAATATAAAGAAACAATTGAAAGAAATCATACACATTGTATTTTATTCGATGGTGGTAAACTGAATGAATATCTCAGTGACGCACATCGTGATAAATTTGTTATCGCAGCATGTAAAGATACACATAATGATCATATATGTATGTACTTATTTGAAAATTTTCTTGATATTATCAAATGCATTTCAATATCAATGTGTATAAAGGTTTCCCAGTAACAATCATGGTCGAAGGAGGTTTAGGTAGCCTTGAAGTTCTTGAAAATGATCTCAAAGCAAAACGACCAATTGTTCTGATTCAAGTTCGTATTAAATAATTCTCACTCATATTATGTGCACTGCATCCAGATCGATGACTCTGGACACCAGAAAACTATCTGATTTCACTCTAACTGGTCAGAAAGATGCGACAAGAACCTTGTATTCGACATAAAAATATCGAAAACCGATGGAATATAGGAATAATATTCCGAATTGGACAGACTTTATATGTTTTTTTTCCATAATAATGCTTCCAATTCCCATCGATTTCCAGTGTTTTCTTACTGAAACTAGCTCGTCTTTCTTGATCTGAACAGTTATTTAAATATAGGGTAGTGGTCGTTTAGCCGATGCACTTGCTATGCTAATCGAACAGACATCAAATTCGGATAGAAATCAATATCGGTAATAAAATATGATGTTGTATTTGTTTTTACGTTAAATATTTCTTGAATAGGATCCAATCAGAGCAAGAAATTGAACAAGCTCTTGATAGATTCTTTCCTAGTGTTTCGTATTCAGATATTGGTTCAGCGACAAAAAGAATTCAAAAGATTTTACAAGAAGAAAATCGTTATCTATTACATGTTTTCTCCATGAATCGTGATAAAAATATAGTTAACACAATTTTCAAGGCTATATTTACTGGTAG